TTCGCGCGGTGAGTATATCTTTGGTATCACGATCACTGTGCTGAAAATTTCTCAAAACAATGATAACAGAGGACGCCATCTTGAGTTTTATTTCCACACGCGTATCGGGAACTGGTTTCAGCGCTTCCCAGTTTACGCTGGTCTCAATTTAAGTTCCGGTTCTGGTTCCGGTTCTGGTTCCGGTTCCGGTTCCGTTTCCGGCTCCGGTTCCGGCTCCGGTTCCGGATTCCGGATTCCGGCTTTTCCGTACGCCCGCCCGTGAATGTAGATATAATATTAAAGATCTATTTTGTCTCTTTATGAATCACTTAACCTCGCTCTCATGCGAGCTAGCTAGACTTGCTATATATTAACCTCGCGAGTTTCGAAGCGTGCGGGCTAACTGCGGGAAGTGGATATTGCTTGCTGTAAAATTTGTAATAATTTTTATTACCAACTGTTTGTTAAAATAAACATAGTACATGCAGTTGAATCAGTTTGCGGAACGGGCATTTTAGGCCGCAAAGCGGCCAAGAGAGCTAGCGGACGAGGTACTTTTTTGAAAGTAAGCCTTCTAACTGATGATCTCATCGCTGTCACTTCGTATTTCCATAAGGTAATATACCTTCCAATTTTGACAAGAGCTGTCAAAATAAACCATTCATAGCGTTTACCATAACCTGGTATACCGGAAGGATCCGGAAGGAGCTCAGTTTTGTTAAAAGTACCATTAAAGGAGTTTTTACGACTCTCACTCCGTACCCCTTCCCCTCATTGTTTTTCCCACTCACTTCTTTTTCAGAATGCTCTTTGCACGCTCCACACAAGATAAACGCCACGTTTAGAGGGAACGCGCAAATTCTCTTACAGATTGCGGTACTGTTTGCAGCTCAAAAACTTGCACGGTTCCACGGGTCGCAAGTAAAGAAAAGGCGGATGCGTGCAAGTTTTTGGCCGTTCAAAAATTTGTAAAAGGGGTCCGAGTGTTAACTCGAGTTGGTACCTTTTCCATCATATTGATCATTGATAGAAGTCGCACACCTGGACGTTTACAGCCACTAGGTTCCTTTTAGTTTACTGGTGTAGCTGTGATTTGTGTCACTGGATTTGTCAAAAACATTCTCACTACGTTGTTTAACATAAGCAGTCCTCACATTTAGAGAAATTGTCAAGGTCTTGCCTTAAATTCAGAGGAGGCAATGATGAAAGAAATGGAATTTATCATGCATCTCCTAAGGAGGTAATTTCCAACGCCGTTTCGTTTGTTAATCTTTTCTACGGCGCTGTTGCAAAAAATGCGCGAGCGAGTCACACGAGATGGCACAAAATGTGCTAAAATTAGCACATTTGATGGCTATGATATATATTTCAGGGGCAACCAACGACAATTTTCAGAAAATATCTGTTTGGAAGACGATTTGCGATCTAGAAGTTTCGGAACATTTCATTGTAAAATTTCTTGCTTGCCTGCCTCTCCTTGGATTTTCGAACATCTAAAAAATGGTATAATGGCCCATTTTAAACGAATTTTTACCCTTAAAAGGTCACCTAGAATTTTCGGGAGCCTTTTTTCTGGCTGAAATTTTCGAAAAGGTAAGTGTTGATCCCTATAATTTTCGGATCATTAGACTTTCAGCTAGGAAATCCGAACAGATGAAAAATTTCTAGGGGATAAAAATATGCCCATATCTACCGTTTAAATACTAAAATACGTTTAACAATGCTATGTTTAAGTGGTTTTTGAACTATCTTCTCGTTGGTTGCCCCTGATATTTCGATGAAGTCAACCCCATCCCTGGAAAAGGTATCCAGTTACGGTCCACGACCCCAATTTAGATAAATATGGCTCCTGGTAGAGAATAAAAACGTAATTTTGTGCTATTTCGCAGCGTAATTAGCGTTGCTAGATAACTCTGTCCGCCATCAGGAGCCCGTAAACCACAATTAAAACCAAAAAATGTATGAGTAAAGACTACACATCAATATTAATATTAATCTTGTAAAAATTCTAGTATGAGCCATTAAAATTGTTTAATGACCTTCTTCAGACACTCGTGTCAGTCAAGTGTGAATCGAAATCCCTCATTTTGCCTTTTTGTTCAAAAAAACCTCTGACCTAGCAGCCCAGCTGCATCTTGTGCCCATCATCTGCCCCCGAGGGGTGAGGATCTCGCTCCTTTTTCATAGGAAATTCATAAATTGTCTACTAAAACACTGTGCAATATGGAAGCAAGGCCAATGTAAGAACTAAGAGCTGCTCAGATAAGAGAAATTGCTCAGAAATTATGCAAAAAGTTGCTTGAAACGAAAATAGTTGCTCGAAATACTAGAAGTTGCCAAAAAGTTGCCGAGCAACTTGTGGAAAGCCCTAGGAAGAAGGGGAGGGGGGTCGGAGGCTACTCAATAAAGCTTTGTTCGGAGAGGTTTCGCCCCGAGGTCCAGTCCCTTACCCTTATATATACTATTTTTGACAAAAGGTACCCCTTTCGTGTATCTTCCATTGAAAAGTTGTACCCTTTTCATATATATGCTTCGTGAGAATAAATCGGTAAGAAAGGAGGTCTTCGGGCCATTTTCGTGTAACTTTTAACTGAATTAACATGTAAATAATATTGCCATAAGGCGTGTTTCTTCGAAGCATTTAATAAAAGGCCCTTTAAAATACTTAATGAAAGATTTTCCTCTCCTTTCACATACTTCAACTTGTGATTTTCCTACCCTTCGTAACACCTGATGCTTGAAAAAGGTACCCTTCGGGTGAAGTCTTCCGGACTATGAAAAGCGCATCATTAAATCATGAACAGGAGATGAGTGGACCTTCGGACATGGACGGTGATTGAAGACTGACGCAAAAATAGATGATACAATAACTCAAAATGAAGTGAATGAAGAGTAAATGAAGACTGAATAAAGTAATGCCAATTGGTCATCTTCACCACAACCTATCACTCCGCCACAAAAAACCCGACAACACAAAAAAAGCTAAATTTAGCTAAAAGTAGTGATTGAAGCAGAAATAGGACTGTAGTAGGTAACTCATAAGCCAGTTTGCTTGTTTTTGCTTTTTATCTCTTTGGTAGGACAAGGCAGCTACTAGTGCCAGTCCCTCCTGAGTGCTGAATTTTCAAGATGGCGTCGCTTTGTTATTTTCTAGTTTCATCCTGTTGTTCAGTACTTTTTGCCCTTTGAACATGTAACCTAGGCAGTATTTCGAGCTTTTTGATATTTCCTCCAGCTGCTGAACATACTTTACAGCGAAATATGGAAGAAAACTCACGAAGAGGACTTAAAACAAGCACGAAGGGATCGGCCTGTTTGCAAGAAAAAGCTTGGAAACTATAACAAATGTGAGTTTTCTAATTTCTTCCTGTTTCAATGGCCCAAAATGATTATTAGTGTTTTGGTTACATGGGTGATAGTAGACTGCAATTTGGCTGTCAGAGTTGTTCTGTCGTTTTAGTTGTACGCTGTAGATCAATTCAAAAATGCCCGATTTTTTGCTCCTTTGCAGACACTAAGTTTAGGTCAGATAAAATAAGAAAATTTTAGTCTTGTCCGTGGCTGCTTAAACATTCTTATGGTTTTAGAAAGTAGTTCTATGATGTGTTGTATCGCATGCAAAAAATAAACTTCGCTCGTTAAATTTTGAGGGTTCTGTGAGTTTCAGAAAATGGTGAAAATTTGCTTATAAAAATGGCGTCCGAGGGGGTCGAATAGAGTGATACTCGTATCTCTAATACAAGAGCAGTGAAGAACCTATGTTTATTATATTTGTCCATTACTCCACCTAACCTATCTATGATGTTAGTATAAACTTATTCTGTTGACCCCCTTCCGTTGACATTTTTAACATTTTGCCCGGTTTTCTCTGACAACCACTCTTAAAAGTAATATGTGCCATGTTGCTGGCTACAAAAATTTAGCGCCCTTTTCTCAACCTGTTAGGAATGAAGGTAACATTAAACACTTGACGTTCGCACAATGGTTTTACAGCGCTTTTCGTGGGTTACAAGTATTTGCTTTCCTTCCTGATTAGTTTATTGGATTATTTTTGAGTGCTGTGATTGGCTGGCCAAAGTAACTTTGCTGTTGACTTTAAATCAAGCAACAATAGGCTAGACTACTAGCTAGAAAACCTTCTTGTACAAAAAACAATAATTAAGGTCTAGTTTTGTTTAATAATAGTAAAGCAGTGTGAACAAATATATTCATCGTCCTGAACAAGATAAACAAAACAAATTTTCGGATAAAATTTATCAAATATCCTCCTTTATAGCAGATTCCAAGAGAATCGTAATCATAATGTAGAATTTGTATTTCAACTTTTAAGGAACGCGACGGTGAAAGCCCCTCTGACGAAGACGACAATAATCAGAGGTAAGAAAGAAAAGGAAAGGGAAAAAATCACCGATAAATTCACTACTATCGTGGATTTTCCCTCAATTATTACAGAAAGTTTAATACTCCTTTCGCTAAAACTAACTCAGGAAACTCAAAAGCTTTCCAGACCTCGACTGCTTACAATATCTAAGTTCTTTGATTCAGAAGATGTAGTTAGGGCACTTCATTCGAAGAAAAACAGCCTCCTATTTATCGGTGAAGTTTCCTTGAGGAGTGAATTAAAGCAGTTTGAGAGGATGTACAATGCTCACATATGCCAACTTCCTGCGACTTGAACTTTACTTGCTTTAACATTACCATAAACCGGTGTCAGAACAAATGCTGTTAGAATAGTCTACAAAAAAGCTATATCTCTCCTTTTTACAATCGTTTGTAAAAAGCCAAATTCCCATACAAAGTATACTGACAGAGAACAGTTCCTAAGACATTGTTCATGGTAGCTTTCTTTCTAATCTGACGCTCACTTGAAAACAAAATTGCAGGATTTTGTTTGTGTAAAGATAACTTTGGTGCCGCCCCAGGTAGCCTAGAGCTAATTAACAAATATTTAAGCACCGTACAAGCAATACGTGAATTTAGTATTTCTTTCAACATTATGAACAGTGTAAACTTTTATTACCTGTATTTTTTTGCCATTAAGGGGTACCAATCAACATACGGATGGCCAACAAGGTGCTGGACACGAGCCAAGAGGTGAAGAGCACATATACTCCCTTGAAAGCACCTCAGGTTCTCACCAGGTAAGCTGTTCCATCCCCTTTGCACATAAATCCTGTTTCAATCTCAGTAGCGTCTGCAAAAAGCCAAAAGTTAAAAAACATCAACCGAGTAACCTTCTGACTTACTCCCTCGGGAGGCTATACATCTTCTTATACAAGGGGGCAGAGTTTGGTGGGGGTTGGGGAGGGGGCAAAGTAAAAGAAAAACTAAAATCTATCATTCCTCCGCAGAGCCAAACAGCAGGAAGGGGCGACGAGCAAGAACAGCAGGAGGCTCCAGTAGCCACACAAACAACAGACCACCAATGGGGTCGACGTGAACGGATCTGGTAAGGCACAAATTGCCTGACACAGAAAAAGACAACGATTACGTACTGACTAGTCACTACCTATCATTGTGCATGAAGTATCACTAAAACAATCATGCACATGTCCTCATATATCAAGTGTGTGCATTGAAGTGCAATTTAGGTGACCACTGCTGGGATCTAACACATTTCCTTTACATGTCTTTTTTTAGTGGTATAGCTTCTCAGCTACCTTATCTTCCTACAGCAACTGCATATCAGGTAGGTATACAACAGCAGTAATAACTGCAGACAGTTTAGGAAGGAAGGAGGAAGGAGTTATGGATGAGAGGACAACAGACGTGCCCTTCTTACATGTACACTGTGTTTGTACTAAAATACCTTTCTTTGTGACAGTACATAAGTTTGCAGTATGTGAGAGAAATTAAATGCTTTTTGGAACGGAAAAAGCAGCACTGATAAAACAAAAGCAAATCAATTAAAGTCGATTATTATAGTAAAACTCCACCTACAGGAACCTTTCAGCTATAACGTTTGGCATTTAACTGAATCTTTACTATAGAACGTGTTAAACACAAAGTGAAATCAAGTTTCTTGTACACAAGGAACAGATTTACGCCAACACCACTTCCACTGAAATCAGCAGCAAGCACCTCTCACAGTTCGGTTAATTAAGTTGTGAAGATGAATAATTCAGGCTTTCACAATTTCGCAAAAATAATTTAAGAAAGGAAAGAAACGCGTGAGTTACAATTGGCACTTTCATTTATCAGCCAAGGCCCGGTTCCTCGAAAGATGGTTAAGTTAAACCCAGGATTATGCCACATTTAAAGCACACTTTTCTTGCCTAAAAATATGTAACTCGAGCTTACAAAATACTGTTAGGCCTTTACTCCGAGACACAGTAATGATAACACAAAATATCACTTTACGCAATACATAGGAAGGTACTATACAAAAACGGAACAAAATTTTAATCCTGGATTAACGCTAATCGGCCTTTCAAGAACGGGCCCCAGGTATATATGTGATCTCACGTTTCTTTTTTCCTTTTTTAGGCGAACCAAGGGGCATTAAGTAGCGACGACAACATACAACAGCGCAGGTAAGAAACACAGTCTGTTTCAGCCATTCCTTAACAGAGCTATACATCCCATCAAACAAAACATTAAAAAAACGCGACTTTTTTCCCTCGTTTTCCATTTTTTAGCCTCTGATATCTTAGTGCATGTCCCGCATTTAAGGAGTCGACTTCAAATAACAATTAAAGGCAAAGTATGATTAAAGTTTTAATAGCTTACTATTTCACCATCACCGTCCTTAACCGACGTATGTATGTTCAAACCTACGATAATTAATGTACTTTTTGTATTAGAGTTCAAAGAAATGACGAAGACCAACGTCAACATCTACGAAATCAACAAGATGCACATGAGGATCAAAATGTACGTAAAAATATATACACAGTCCTCACTTGGGTAGTCTGCTACGTAACCGTTCGTTATGTCGTCACGCTAGTAACGGCTGTGTTTGGGTCGTCACGCAACCCTCCTTCGGGGAAAAGCGTCGTGTGACGACAAAAAAAAAACAACGGTCGCCGAGGAGACCAGTCTCCCACGAAGCCGTTTTTGTCTCGTCACGTAACGCTCCTCCCCTAATTTGGAGATGAGAGTTGCGTGACCAGACAAAAACGGCTGCGTGGGAGACTAGGTGACGAAAAGTAGAAATACGGCTCAAAACTTATCATATTTATGCACACAAGTTAAAAAAAAAGTGACCTGGCAAGGCATAGTGAACAGAGGGATAAAACTCTATCACTAAAGACAGACATGCCAAAAGAACAGCGCACTGCCGATACTCAAATATGATTTCGCGAAAGGTCCCTCGTAACAAAGCAAAAACATTCAGCTCTCAACATTTGGGTGCTTTATTTCATGTGGAACTTTAAAAAGGTAAACAAGAGGATGACTAAGATCTGTTAGCGGACGGATTCTTGATTGTTTTAATAACAATGTCTCTTATTTATTCCTATGTTAGCTCTTTCCACTGCCCGGGTGGACTACAAGTGGAAGAAGAGTGCAGCAGCCTGAACAACAGTCTCCAGGGTATGGCATAGAACAACAGATACGTTATACAGATTCGCCCATCAAAATACAAGACCTTGTTATTGCCAGAACTCCCATGGACTCTAGGATTATCGCTTTTGTATAGCCTTAAACTCTAATAAGGCCTCAGCAACACCCGAGGAATCTCCACCAGTTTGAGTCTGCGCGAATTATTTAAGTGCCTTTAACGTAAAAATTTTGATTATGTTAACTGGAAGAACACATTACTACAAGAACAAAATGGGATTTTTTAGAGTTTTTTTTTTAAGTATAAATTTCTTAGACACACCCTTTCCGCTGACCACGAAATTGATAGGCTCATATGAGAAGTCAAGAGACGTAGATTCAGGAACTGAAAAGCGGGATTTTATTCAACTGTCTTGTTTGTATGTTTTCGGGTGTGCTTCTGAAAGGCATGATGACAGACAAAGTTTTTCCCTTTCTTCTCTTTTCTGCATTCTCATTCTTAAAATACTGTAATAATTTGGTTTTAGCCAGGCCTTATGATGAGTAAGACAAACAGAATAAAAGAGAGAGAGATGAAAAGAAAAACAACACTTTCTTTACTCTTCCCTTTCAGGGGTGTATTCTGTGATTTAGGAACTGGACACCCACAGGTAGGTATATTTAGGTACTGAAATTCAGGTTGCTGCATTCGGCGCATGATCATAAACCTCGGCTATTCACTGGCGATTACTTGCTTGCGCCCCTTAACTAACTACTGTGAGCATCACGCTAATTTACGCAAAGACCAAACCGAAAAAACACACACACACAAATCGCTGGTGACTGCCTTAAAAGCAAGTGCCCCAAGGTTGTGTGAAAGTTTAACATTATCCGTGTTTTAGTATACGCTCTGCAGGGTGTTAATTTGTTAATAGAGGTCTGATCTGTAACATCATTACAGCTCCCAATTTACTATGAATTTGGAATAGATCTGGCGTAAAAATTCTTTTATAAGCACTTGAATTACCGGACGACCTTAACTGAGCGAGACGTCAAATTTTCATAAAAATACCCACAAATTTTGGTTCTTCTCACGAAAGGTTCGACGTTTGGCCTGGGCCTAAATCTACTCGAAGTTTAGGTTTAAAATCAGTCTCTGTGTAAAGGAACAAAAAATTCCTTTCTAGGTTCAGGCAATAATCAAGTTTTGAATTTTTCCAAAGAAACGCACCTATCGTTAGGATTGGTTCAGTTAGATACTTTTTTATAGTTTACCTTTCGTTAACGGCATTCTGTAAACTTACTTCACTTTCTTACATGCCGCTTTTACTTTATATTCACAGGAGCAGGATTGTGTGTGCGATTCATGTCATCGTACATAAAAAAGCCTCGTTAAGTTTACAGTTTTTCTTGTTATTTGGTAATGTTGTAAGTGTTGATTTCACAGCTACTAAGAGGAGCATAAAGGTTTCATAGCTCTTTGTCAGGTTCATTTTTTTTTTGTTATATTTATCTATCTTTATTTTTATTTATTTATTTATTTATTCAGGCGAAAATGTCACTGAGAGAGGTGTCTTGAAAAATTAACTATGCTAATTTTCGCATTTTTCAGCTCTCTATTGAGCCCGCATTTTCTCTTCTAGATCACAGGGATCTGGGGCCCGTTTCTCGAAAGTCCCGGTAACTCTTCGGGCCCGAAATCAAATATTCAAATCGAAATATAAAGAATAAAAGCGAGGGTCCTGGCAAGCAAACTACTCCATTTTGTTTCATTAACTGATAGTTTTATCACTTTAGATGCAAAACTATTGGAACCTCGATCTTTAATGTAAACGGAGACAGCTTACCGGGCCCGTTAATTATCGGGACTTTCGAGAAACGGGCCTCTGGGCCTTTTTCTAACGTTTTGTATTGGTAACAATATTTTTGAGTTTGCAAAATTATGACCCAAACCTTACGTTTGACTAGAGTAACTTTGTCACGTTCATTGTTGAAAACGTATAAAAACAATAAAATGTTATCGTTTATTAGATCATTAAAGCCGCAGTCAAGTTATTGTAATTTCTTGTCTATCTGATGATTTATTTATTGACTGATTGATTGATTGATTTACCATGCTTAAATAAGCAAAAATTGGTTGAAGTCCCCCAAACCATGAACAATCGGGAAAAGACTGAAACGCATTTTCCCATCCTCAAAATGCACTGTCTTTTTAATATGAATAAATCACTAAAACAGGACGTTTTCTTGTCATTTCGACAGTCATAAGATGCGCATTTTCAAAATACATTAATTAAAAGCATTTTTAAAACCTAAACGACAGATTTCCCTAACCTTTCCTATACTTCAACTCGTGAGATCCCTACCCTTTTATATAGCTGAACCCTGAAACAGATACTCCTTTCGCGCAGAGCCTCCCCGTAAAAGACATTATAAGGAGTGCCCCCTCCCCCCCCCCCCCTGGGGAGTAGACATGGTCACAATTGTGGGCACACACTCTTAAAAAGCACTTGAATTCACTGCTTCTGACTGGCCAAGTTGATAGGCTCCTGCCAGAAAGTAACAGTCAACTCCCGTTATTGCGGACACCCCGATAACACGGACAGCAGCCAGATCCCCGGCAAAAAATAATTACAGACGTTTGGGTGAAATAAACTCCCGCTTTTACAGACTATCGCTATTGAGTTTTTGTTTAACAGTGGAAAACATATAAGTTTTAATCTTGAGAAGCCCAAGTCATCAAGTATTGTTGAGGGTTGATCGGTGACACACTCAGATGTACTAAAAATCTACTAAGTACTTGACTGGCCTTTCTTACTAGCGTGCCGAGATTATCTAAGTCCACTTACTAAAAGTGACAAAGTGACTATCGTGTGACAAACAAGCCCTATCGTAGGCTTTGAATGGGCTATCGCCACCTTAATTATTATCTGATTTCCGACACTCCAAGGAAATACATAACTACAACACTCGCCCACGCGTCTACGAACTCGTCTAAGCGTATCCGTTTTTATTTGAAAACGAACATTTCTCTCCATTTCAAAAAAAAAAATATCGTCCACACAAGGCGTTTTCAAAACGGTTTCTTACGTCCAGGCGTATCCATGAACATGTTTTAACGCGACTCGCCTTGAATCGTTCTAAATTTTCCCTTCACTACTAGGAAATCACTGTTTGATCGCAAAGTTGTCCCACCAAAGCACTTTACGTCCTGATCTAACCTAGTATCTCAGAGGTCTTGGTTGCTACTCTGTTTAGTTAATTTGAAGTCGTCTTTTGACAGCCTGAACAATTATCCTAAAAGAAAACTGAGTAACTTAACCCTTTAAGCCCCAGTATCCACATGCAAATTCTCCAAACTGATCTCCATACATTTCCTTCAAAAATTAGTTGAGAGAATTTGATACTGACAGATCAAAGATTTTTTCCCTTTGTGATCATTTTGTTAATTCTCATAGACTTTGCTCTTGACAATCTATGGATTTTGTTAGGAGAAAATTGATGTTGGTCACTATTGGGACTTAAGGGTGAAGTCAAGACAACCTGACCGATACAGTCGGTGATCGTTTTCAAATTCGTGTGGCCGGAACGCCGATCAAAAGAAACAGATACGAGTGGATGGGACTTAAGTCTTCCCTTTCCGGAACAACTTAAGATCCAGGCAGCTTTTTGATTAGATGGGGCCGGCCGGCAACTGTTTTACATCTTGCTAAATGAACCTCAACGCGTAAGCTCAAACGTCACCCTAGATAAATGTAATATTGAAAAAATGCTGAATTCAAACACTTCTAATGTCACGAAACTCTTCGAAACTTGAAACCCCTAATTTCATCCGTCCTTGCTAGCATGAAGCTCTGGTGTTTCAGGACTAGGGTCCACTGTTTCTGTGGTTTATTGTTTTCTCACAACGCTGTTCCAAAAGATACCATTTCTCAAATAATTACACCCGAGTGTAAGACTATAACTGAAAGTGTGTAAGTGTTGTTCCATGCGTATGAATGTTTTGTTTCAGTTTAACTCACTCACTAGATTCTGAATGCCAGGGTCGCCAATGCATGCTTATTTTCACACTGTTATGCGAATCAAACGAGAAAACATAGACGTTGTCCATAATTAGACATCTATTCATCAGTTTGTTGCAAAATTTGCTGACTAAGGCCTGTGAGGTTCCAGAAGGTATCGAAAATCAGCGTACAAATGTAGAATTTATTGTTTTGAAGTCACGCTTGAGTATCATATGCCCATAGATATCGAGAAGATATCGCTGATGTCACCTACTGATATTAATGTGTCAATCACAGGATCGTTGGCTCTGAATCAAAAGGTTTCTTTGTTTCAGTGTTTGGCGTATTTAAATAACAAAAAGTTTGTTTGTAAACAAATACCTTCCCTGTTCTATTCTTAGAAATATTGCCACCATTTCCGAGAACAATGTAGAAACTGCCAATGCCCACACAGACATTGAGAGCACTGTGATTCAAAACACACGGGCAACAGTTCGAAGTCAAACAAATGAGCAATCAACTATAATACAACTCTGATAAGGAACCAAAACAACTTCACTGAGTTACTGAAGGGTTCGCGTGACTGTCAACTTGTCAAATAAATTCACCTCTGTCAAGAGCCCATTATGGCTCTTGCCTCTGTATAATCATTATCAGAAAACGAACTTCAGGTTTTGACACCACAATAATTGGGTGCAAGATGGTACATTGTATTAATCGCAACCTTAAAATAACGCTGTGCGAAGCAATGTTTCAAAAGAGTTTGTTATTCATTATTTTAGTACATGTTCTCATCTAAGAGACATAAGAGGGACAAATCCCTTATTATTCTAATGAAAACGGTAAAAATCCCTTTAGAGCGAAACATAATTTTGTGGCTACGTAAGTAATTTCTATCTCTGCGAAGCAACAGAAAAAAACCGGGCAACAAATGACAAATAGTTGGAGTCAGGTTAGAAATTTCTTTTTTATAGTATCTAAATGACACATTGATATTGGCGCTAGAAACAAAAGAAGATAAACTAAGTTACCTGTATACGAAATAATGACAAAGTTGCCCAAAATTATCAAGCTAGAACTATGGTTCATATTAATATGAAATTTAAGGCGCTTCAGCGAAGAGAAGGAGTAAAAATAAAAACACAGGACTATATGGATTGTACGCAGCCTTGTTACGCTGACTGAGCCAGTGTAATCAAGATACTTAAACCCCTAATTCAGTGCTGTGGGCATGTTTAGGCACATTCGTTTACAAACAATACAGGGAAATAACCCAATGAAATGCACTAATGATCACATAAGGAAATATATCTTGAAGTTTGAACATTCGTTCAATCAATCTGAGCAAACTGCTAAGTGAAATGTACGAGAACAGGTGTGGACTGAGTGCGCCAACGACTTGCTGGAAGTAAAGGTGAAAAAACTGTCTAGGCAACAATTGAAAGCAGGCAAAGAGATGACTACTTGGAAAGAAGTCTGTGATCAGAAATTACATTATGCGACGATTGAAAATATTTCCTCGGTAAGAATAAATACATTCCTCAAACGAAATGCTTTTAACACACGGTTCAATTCTCCCTTGACTAGAAAAACGTTCCCTGGCCGAAGAGAAATTTTTGAAATCTTAATTGACATATAGGATTGAAATCTCACCGCTGAGAAGTCGTCCAGATTCATGTGTTATCGCTTAGATAATTTGTGTACTTTAAGGAGGCGGTTTTCGTACCTTTGATTCTGTGGCTAGAATCCTTTTTTAAATTTCAGCGGTGTGAGCATTTTTAAGTGAAAGCTTCCGAACACTACTTTACACTGATTCTATTTGACACGTAACAATCTATCGCATTTATTTTAGGTTTGCGCAACTGGTCTACATAATATTACGATGTTCACGTTTCCTTAGCCTGTGTACCATGTAACGGTCCTCGAGAAGCATATTAGGGCATACAACGCCCTAAAAGTGATCCTAACGGGTCACAAGCCCGTAACTAAGCGAGTACAACGGTATGCTGGAGTTCCTTATTACAATGACTTGTACTGAAAGCATGCCAGACGCCAAGGTAGTGATGGGCTGCGGTAAGTATTAGCTTAAACGTGTTAAAATTCTTTCACTCCTTAAGACAAGCCCTGAGTCTTGCACAATTAGTTAACAGGACATTCTTATACGTACATAGGCTCTCTAGTAGGGGATATGACGAAGAGAAGTCGAGAAAGCCTGAGCAGACGGGGACTGGGGAATAACCACGCTTCCCCGTGAGCCTGGACTACGAGTAGTCCCTCATTTTCCACAGGGATAGTTGAGCGAGCGAAATACGCGAGCGCGCGTGAAAATTGCCACGCGTGAGGAGAAACGAGACGCGCCTGTCACCTGTCTGCGTGTCACTTTCCTCGCGGGTGGCGATTTTCACGCGCGCTCGCGTATTTCTCACGCTCTACTACCCTTAAGAAAATGAGCGACTACTTGTAGTTTACAGTGAGCCTGTTAACAGTACAGGCTAACGGTATTCAATTTTTTATAATCTACAGCGAAAATACACCATACAAACTTTAGAAAGGAGGTTCGGTCACGAATCGAACTCTCAGTGAGAAAACCCGTGAACAGAAAGAAAAATTGTACTCAATTTGTACTCAATTGTTCCCAGGGTCCTCTCCTACCTGTCCCTGTGCGTAGGAGAGAGAGCCTGGGAACGAGGTTGCATCAAAGAAAGAGAAAGAGAAAACCGGAAACTGCCCCGTTGTAAAAAAATTGGCCGTTAGCAAGCCAACAAAATGTCAAGCCTGAGAAGTGTCTCTAACGGGAGGTCAGATAACAGGAAGGTCACACTTTTATTAGATAGGCGTACTCTTAACTGAAACTGTGGTGAA